AACGATCATATCCCCCTTATGAGCAAATACTTTTATAAACAGACATATATTTGCCTACTAATCCGCTGTTGCGCGTTACTATCGGTTAAATTATGTGTAACAGGTAGTGGCGATATGAGGTATAAGAGGAATACAAGAATGACCGGATTTTGTCATGGTACCTTTCGCTCATAAATGTTATACTGTCTCACTTATTAGTTAACTTAAGAAATTTTTTTAATTTAAACAATTTTAATCAACACATTGTATAGAATAAATAAAAAATTTTTTTTGTAATTTTTTAAACACAACAACCTATGTTTTACATATTAATTATGAACATTACTCAAATTATAAATAAGTTATAACATAAAAATACATAAAAAAAATAATCTTTTTTAAATTATTTAAATTACCTTTTGAAATTCTAATAATTGATCTCTATAGGTGACTAGTATAGTAATTTGATTTTGACGATAGCCTTGACTTGTCAAATATCTGGCAAATTCCATAAAAAATTTTACTTCGTGAATATTTTTGTGGCTATTAGAACCAATTTCCTAAAGGACATAATAAAAATATATGAAACTTAATTAATTAATGCAATATTTATTTATTTATTAGAATGAAATGGGTATGAACTCAATTTTACAATTAGTAGAAATAACATTATTATGTTTGAATTAGTATATAATGGATAAATTATATAATATATAGTATTCACCACATATTGGACTCATTCCCTATACTTGCCCTACTCAAAACACCAGGTTTTGATTTCAACATAGAGGAAAAAATGTGTCTATTAGACTTGTTGTTGCATTTATAACTTTTCTTCTACTGCTCCAATTTATTGCTAAGTATTCTCTGCTTAATCAACTGACGTGGAAAATAGTTTTTCCAGATATAAGAACTTATTAACTCCAAATTGAAGTAGGTTCAATTTTGAAAATTTAAAACAAGCACTTATAGTGCAATACAATGATATATAATATAATTGTACAAAATATAATTATATTTTTTTTGGTAAAATTTAAAATTATAAGTCTTAACAATAATTATAAATTATAAAATAATTTTTTAGTGCAATGAGGCAAATAATTTTACTTGCTTCTTAGTACTAAATTAGTTGTGTCCTAGTTATTACCCAATAATTTAAAATATTACTTACTTTTTCTTCATTTACTTTATGGTGAATAAAATACATATTCTTATTAACACCACCAATATCACTTCTATGTTTAACTGATTTATGATCCATTAAGAAAGGATAAATAGGTTTCATTAAAGCAGATATTTCAGGTCGCATTCGATGTTGTGTGGCTAAGGTATAACAGGGAAATCCATTTTTTACCATACGTTCAAATAATGAAACATCAAACTTAAACCGTTTTGCAAGTGTATAAGATGCATTTCTTGGACGCAGTTGTTGATGATCACCTATGAATAATATACATATATTTCAATAAATTATCATAAAATACCACAATTTTATACTAACATTATATTATAGTTTTGATGAATACAAAGTTTAATTTATCTATATTTAAAATGAATATTTTACATTTGAAAATATATAAGTTAGAAAAATAAGCATTTTATTAAAACATTACTCATTTTTTTTGTTTACAGATATACCTTTAAAGGTAAATAAGTTTCTGCCATAAGAAAATAATAGACATTTTATTTAATATATG